CATGCATTTGCCCCCAATGTGAAAAATTACTAACTGAAAAGAAATTAGAACTTAAGTGCCTCCTGGTGTTAGACAATGCCCCTGGTCATCCTACAGACGTGGCAGAGCGACTTTATGGGGACATGAGCTTCATTAAGGTGAAGTTTTTGCCTCCTAATACCACTCCTCTCCTGCAGCCCATGGACCAGCAGGTTATTTCCAACTTCAAGAAACTGTACACAAAAGCTCTGTTTGAAAGGTGCTTTGTAATGACCTCAGAAACTCAAACTGACTCTAAGAGAGTTTTGGAGAGATCACTTTAATATCCTCAATTGTGTAAACCTTATAGGTAAGGCTTGGGAGGAAGTGACAAAGAGGACCTTGAACTCTGCTTGGAAGAAACTGTGGCCAGAATGTGTAGACAAAAGGGATTTTGAAGGGTTTGAGGCTAACCCTGAGAATCCTGTGCCAGTTGAGGAATCCATTGTGGCATTGGGAAAGTCCTTGGGGTTGGAGGTTAGTGGGGAGGATGTGGAAGAGTTGGTGGAGGAGGACAATGAAGAACTAACCATGATGAGCTGCTAGATCAACTTCAACAGCAGAGGCCACACCTGAGGAAATTGCTTCGGAGGAGGGAGAGAGAAATTGAAGAAGTTGCCTACTTCAAAGATTAAGGAAATCTGTGCAAAGTGGCTTGAAGTGCAAACCTTCATGGATGAAAATCACCCTCACACAGCTATTGCAAGCCGTTGCTGGTGATTATTACACTGACAATGTTGTGAAACACTTTAGGCAAGTCATAAAGGAACGAGAGGTACAGGCCACTATGGACAGATATCTTGTGCGAAAAGAAGTCCAGTGACTCTGAAGCTGGCCCTAGTGGCATTAAAAGAAGAAGGGAAGTAACCCCAGAAAAGGACTTACTACCTCAAGTCCCTAATGGAAGGGGATTCCCCTTCTAACATTTAACACACTCTCTCCCTCCTCCCATCCCATCAATCATCACCAGATCTTCAATAAAAGTAAGTGTCATTTAATTGTGCATGCCTTTTTCAGTTTGTGTGTATTAAAATTAACATTTCATGTGGTAAAAAAAAATTTTTTTCATACTTTTGGGCGTCTTGCACGGATTAATTTTATTTCCATTATTTCTTATGGGGAAAATTCATTCGCATAACGATTATTTCGCATAACGATGAGCCCTCTTGCACGGATTAAAATCGTTAACCGGGGGTCCACTGTAATTACATCATCCTGTGGACGGTAACGAAAGAGAATTTGAAAACATAAAAGCCTAGGAACTGGGTCCCAAAAGGGGTTACAGGAGTACATCTAGATATATGTATATTACAGTTCACTTATCTGTTGCAAGCAAATTTAGGAAACTTTCTTAATATGTCTGGTATCTTATTTACATTAATAAGATCTCGTGACATATTACATAGGTTATTGTACCGTCTACCGGCCTTGCCTGGATATCTTTGATTATTATACTGTCCACCAGCCTTGCCCGGATATCTTGTCGAGCGAGCGGTTGTCACTGACACATGATGGTTGTCAGTGTTCAACTAACTTGAGAAGGGGGGAAAGGAGGAGGGGAGGAGCAGTCTCATTCTGGGTAAAACCAACACATGATTTCTAAATATTTTATTTAAAAAAGTGCATAATTCATGGAATATTTTGGTATTTAAATTTTGTTTCTACGATTTTTCTAAGTTGAGTTATCGGAAATTACAAATTTTGCCGGAAAGCAATTTTGCATCACTAATATGCCTGATGTGACTTTGTTGTTTGTGAACAATTCATTCATTATTTTTTTTTTTAATGTGTATCATTATTATGCAAATATTTGGTGCAAAAATGAGAGGTTAGAAGAATAATTTTAGATGTTTCTTCATGTGCTATTATCTTGGAAGTTACTTGGACAAAATGCATGTGCTCCTTCATTATTTATGGAACAATCACAAAAAAAATTCTTTCTGAGATTATAAAAGTCCTTGTTCTTCAATTCCATGTTTCTGTTTTAATCATAATCACTTTCAAAATGTTAAATTTTATTGATTCTTATTGAAAAAGTAGATTTTTTTAAATTTTCAAAAATTTAAAGAAAATAACAAGGTTGCTCCTTGCACTTCAGGAACATCCTTCAACTGACTAGTAAGTAATTAACATACATTCCTTAGAGTTTCATGGGGTAAATCCTCCCACAACTCGCAGACAGCATCCTAAAGCCGTGGGAGTGGGATGATATCCTTCCTCAAGTAGATCTCTATCACAGCCCAAAGGTTCTCAATGGAGTTTAATTCTGGGGAATATCCCAGTCAGTCACTGAACGGTACCTCACAGGGATAAAGCCACTGAACAATGGACATTGCAAGAGAGATTCAGGAAACTGATAACACAGAAAATCTAAGTACATGTGTTATTAGTTAACATTAATGGGGACAGATATCATGGCTTCCATGGAAGTGCTTTTGATGTGAATGTTATTAACACTGTCCTGAAGGAACTGATGCAACTCAGTCCTCACTGGATGCTAACACACATCAGTGATATTGCCTATTTCTTACATTTCATGGCCTGCCATATGTAATCCAATGAACTTTACAAATGTCTTTTGTCAACAACTTATTCCTGCTCATACTTCACCAGTAGCCAAAGACATCTGACAAATATGGCCTTCAAGATCATGTGGTGCATGAGGACCATTAACAAAAAAAACCATTCACCACGCAATCCTACAAGGAGCCTAAGATGCAGCAAGTAGCCTTTGGAAATCCTGAGACACCCCACTTAGATTTGCAAGGTCAGCCTAACTTTCTGTCTAATCAACTAACTTACTTTAATGACAAGCACTGTATATGATCTCTTGTACTTATTTAACATGCTTGATTATGTGACTATTCCTAGTTGGTACCAAATACTCTAAACAGAACTAACATACAGAGTGTATAATGTCCCAAACAAATCTTTGATCAGGTTCCTGAATGCTATTTTGAGCTAGATAGTCTTGTATATGGCTAGAAACAAATGCAGTATAATGTGATCCTTTGGTAATGTCCATGCAGTGACCTTTTTTTCTGACTTAAAAAACCCCACTGAATGTGTGCAAAGTTGTCCTTAGTGTATTCTCAATATTTCTACTGCTGGAGGCAGCTGAAATGTTGTGACTGAGGGCAATGTGTAAGTGTGAATATTATGCAGATAATTTATAGTTTGGAGATTAGAAGATGTTGGGTAACTAAATGTAATATCCAGAGAGCTGTGGTGGTTTGGACACTCAAGATAGGAAAGAGCAAAAAAGGGATGACTTAAAGGGTGTATAAATCTGTAGTGGAGTGAAGGCAGGGTAGGAGGTCACCCTATAAAGGTTACAGGAGGGGGTAAAGGAGGTTTTGTATGCGAGGGGCTTGGACATCCAGCAGGCATGTGTAACTGTGTCAGATAGAAGTGAGTGGAAGCAAGTGGTTTTTGGGACTTTACAAGCTACCAGAGTGTGAGCAAGGTAACATTTTGTGAAGAGATTCCAGTAAACTGGTTTGCCAGACCTGAGTTTGGGAGGTGGGAAGTAAAGTGCCTGCACTCTGAAGGTGGGGCGGGATAATTGCAGTCTGGAGGGGCATCTGAACTGTAGTATCAGTGCACCTTTGGCAACACAAGTATGGAGTGAATGATGGTGAAAGTGTTTCTTTTTTGGGTTACCCTACCTCGGTGGGAGATGGCCAGTGTGATAAATTTTTTTTTTTTTATAATATTTAAGGAGAAGGAGCTGAAACTGTAGAGGTCATACAACACCTTGAGAATTTGAGATAATCAGATTCAATCTAAGGAAGGAAAGAACAAGTCCAAGTAATGGCATCAAGAGCTCCTCACCAGCATTAAAGTACCTCTCTTGAGAGGCTGTGCATTCTCCAGATCAACAATTCTGCTGATGGCATGCAAAATTTCATATTATTTTTACATGTACTATCTTTATACATGTGGTAAATGCAGCAGCGAGGAGACGGTTGGAGGCAGTGGAGATGTCCTGTCTAAGGGCAATGTGTGGTGTAAATATTATGCAGAAAATTCGGAATGTGGAAATTAGGAAAAGGTGTGGAGTTAATAAAAGTATTAGTCAGAGGGCAGAAGAGGGGTTGTTGAGGTGGTTTGGTCATTTAGAGAGAATGGATCAAAGTAGAATGACATGGAAAGCATATAAATCTATAGGGGAAGGAAGGCGAGGTAGGGGTTGTCTCGAAAGGGTTGGAGAGAGGTGGGTAAAGGAGGTTTTGTGGGCGAGGGGCTTGGCTTCCAGCAAAGCGTGCGTGAGCGTGTTAGATAGGAGTGAATGGAGACGAATGGTACTTGGGACTGACGATCTGTTGGAGTGTGAGCAGGTAATATTTAGTGAAGGATTCAGGGAAACCGGTTATTTTTCATATAAGTCGGACTTGAGTCCTGGAAATGGGAAGTACAATGCCTGCACTTTAAAGGAGGAGTTTGGGATATTGGCAGTTTGGAGGGATATGTTGTGTATCTTTATACGTATATGCTTCTAAGCTGTTGTATTCTGAGCACCTCTGCAAAAACAGTGATTATGTGTGAGTGTGGTGAAAGTGTTGAATGATGATGAAAGCATTTTCTTTTTGGGGATTTTCTTTCTTTTTTGGGTCACCCTGCCTCAGTGGGAGATGGCCGACTTGTTGAGAAAAAAAAAAAAAAAAAAAAATCTTTATACAACGTAAGAACGTTTTAACCCTGGAGGTGGGAAATACAATGCCTGCACTCTGAAGGAGGGGTGGAGATATGTTGCAGTTTTTAAACTGTAGTGTCAGTGCACCACTGGCAAGACAGTGATGGAGTGAATGATGAAAGCGTTTCTTCTTTTTCGGGCCACCCTACCTCAGTGGGAAATGGCTGATGTGGTAATTAAAAATTTTTTTGCTATTCTGTGAAAATTCCCATATAATTTGTACTCAGTCCTCAGATTTCTTAAAAAATAAAACCTACATAAGCTGTGGACATATTCCGAAACCTACCTTGCCATTAGCACTCGGCTGCCTTACAGTCCTAACCAGATCAAGCTGAGTATCAGCCATTTGGCTGCCACAAGCAGAGCATGCAATTACAGACAGCAGGTGCACCATATAACATAACACCTTCAATGTATGTAAAATCCTGGGAACCACTTCACAATACAATGATACACACAAGTTCATTAATATTTTACACCAGCAGGTCATCTTGCCCCACAAGATGAGGAGGGCTATCATGATATTTTTCATTGCTAATTCTTCACCACCTGTGACAGTATCCATGGTGAACTATTATATTGCAAGACAGGTAGTTTGTCACCCCATCAATGCACAGCACCAACAACCTACACAAAATTTTCTCATGCTCCCAAGGGTCACCCTACTTTTTTATGAAAAAGGGCCAAGTTCATTGTTCTAGGGGCTTTTTCCCTCCCAAGGCCCTTTTTTTGGGCATTTTTTTTACACCTAAAAGTTAAATATAAACAAGCTGCAAAAAAACTTCTAAAAAATTAAATTTTTAAAGCACTAACAAAAGAAATGAAGTGCCAAAGAGTAAAAAACGTTTTTACCTCGGGGTTTTTCCCTTTCCTAAATCGGGGTCCTCCTGCCCACCCCCAAAGTAGATTTCTTTGCTTTTTATGGAGACAGTACCGGGGAGGACCACCAACCAGGAGAAAACCAGCGTGCTCTATGCTCATATTCACCATCCCTTTGGCGAATGGAAAAATAAAGGAATTAAAATATAAAAAATTTTTTAAATTTCCATTTAAATTTATATTTATCCCCCAACAGAGTGAGATAAACAAGTTAAAAAAGCCGGGGGAAAAGACGGGTTTTGTCATTAAAAAACAGAGTGGGAAAGGGTTTATTAGAGGGAGAAACGGGAGGTTTTGGGTAGATGGCAAGAAATTTTGAGGAACTTTTAAATGTTGATGAAAAAAGGGGAAGGCAGTAATTTCATCATGGCCGGGGTATAACATCTTTTGGGAAAGTGAAGAAGAGCAGATGAAAAGTGTGGGGGAGGCGCAAAAAGGCTTTAAACGTAGAAAAAAAGGGGGGGTTTAAAGCAGCTCGAACGAGAGATCAGGGAACAGAAATTTTAAAAGAAAGGGGAAAATATAGTGTTGGAGGGGTTTGGTATTTTTTGTTTAATAAATGTATGGGTAAACAGAATGTAGGATTCCCGGAAGGAGCAAGGGGGGTTTCAGAGGGGGAAAGGGGATGTGTAGATCAATTTTTTTTTACTTGAAGCATAATGGTCAACAGTTTTTTAGATAAAGGGGGAAGTTTTTATTCCCATTTAGGATTTAGAAAAGGCATATGATAGAGTGGATAGGGGACAATGTGGCAGATGTTCCCAAGAAATATGGAATGGGTGGAAGTTACAAAAATTTGCTTTTAAAAAATTTTTTTATGAGGATAGTGAGGCTCAGGTTAGGGTGGGGTAAAAGAGAGGAAACTACTTCCCCGTTTTTAAAAAGAAGGTCTTAGACAGGGATGTGTAATGCCCACCAGGGTTTGTTTAATATATTTATAGATGGGGGGGAAAAAGAAGTAAATGTTTAGGGTGTTGGGAAAAAGGGGTGGGAAAAAATTTATGGGAATAAAATTCAAAAGGGGAAATTTTAACCCACAGTTATTTTTTGCTTGATCACTGGCTTATGGGAGATTTAAAAAAAAAATTGCAAAGGTTAGTGGATGAGTTTGGGAATGTGTGTAAAGGTAAAAAGGGTTTGAAAGGGGGGGAACATAGAAAAGAGAAGGGATGAGGGGATCAAATTATTTAAATAAAGAAAAAATTTGGGGGTCAAATTGGGGAGGAGGAGTATGGAAAAAAAGTAAATGTTTTTTAGTACTTGGGGGGTTGCCGTGTCGGGGGATGGGTTTAAAGAAGGATTTAGGGTTAAAAACAAAAGAATTTTAAGAGGGGAAAAAAGGGGGGAGTGGTGCATTGAGGGAAATTTGGGGGTCAAAAAAAGTTTTTTTGGGGGGCAAAGAGGGGAAAGTGGTTTTAAAGTTAGTAGTACCAACGCTTTAAAAAAGGGGTTTTAAGGGTTTTGGGGGGTAAATGCAGCAGCGAGGGGACGGGTTTGGGGCAGTGGAGAGGGCCTGTCTAAGGGCAATGTTTTGGTTGGGAAAATTATTTCCCGAAAATTCGGAGGTGGAAATTAGGAAAAGGTGTGGAGTTAATAAAAGGGATTAGTCAGAGGGGAGAAAAAAGGGGGGGGTTGAGGGGGTTTTTTTCATTTAGAGAGAATGGATCAAAATTTGAATGACATGGAAAACATATAAATCTATAGGGGAAAAGGGAAAGGGGAGGTAGGGGGCATCCTCGAAAGGGTTTTGGGGGGAGGGGGGAAGGGGGTTTTTTTGGGGCCCAAAGGGGCTTTGGACTTTCCCGCAACATGCGTGGGATGTTAATAGGATGAAAAGGAGATGAATGGTACTTGGGACCTGAAAAAACTGTTTGGGAAAATGAGCAGGGGTAATATTTAAATGAAAGGGGTTTTAGGGAAAACCCGGTTTTTTTATATAGTCAAATTGAGTCCTGGGGAAAAAGGAATACAATGCCTGCACTTTAAAGGAGGGGGTTTTTGGGGTATTGGGAGTTTTGGGGGGATATGTTGGGGGAATCTTATACGTATATGCCTTTTAAAATTTTGTATTTTGGGGCAACCCCTGCAAAAAAAAGTGATTAGTGTGAGGTTTGGTGGGAAAATGGGTTTAATGATGGGGTGAAACATTTTTTTTTTGGGGGTTTTCTTTTTTTTTTTGGGGCAACCCCGGGCCCCGGTGGGGAAAACGGCCAAAATTGTTGGAAAAAAAAAAAAAAAAAGTAAAGAAAGAGGGGGAAAGGGAGTTTTGGGTTTAGCAGGATGTATAGTTCCTTTAATAAAGGGAAGGGGGACAAAGAGATTGGGAAAAAAAAATAGTGGTTGTAAATGCAAACACGAGAGGCGGGGGGTTTGGGGGGCAGTGGAATGTACTGTCTAAAGGGGAAGTTGGGGCAAATATTATGCAGAAAATCCGGAGTGTGGAAATTGGGGGGAAAAGGTGGAGTTAATAAAAATATTAAAAATAGAGGGCTAAGTGGGGTTTAGGTGGTTTGGTCATTTTTAAAAAGAATGGATCAAAGTAGAATGACCTTTGGGGAGCGGAAAAAAACTGTAGTGGGAAAGGGAAAGGGGGGGTAGGGGGTTTTGTCCTTGAAAAGGTTTGGGAAAGGAAGGGGGAAGGGGGGGTTTTGTGGGGGAGGGGGTTTTGGGCTTTCCCGCAAGCGTGCGGGATCGGTTTGATAGGGGTGAATGGGGACGGGAAAGGTATTTTGGGGCCTGACGAGCTGTTGGAGAGTGGAGGGAGGGTAAAATTTTGTGAAGGATTCAGGGAAAAACCGGGTTAAATTTTTTTATACCCGGGCTTGAGTCCTGGGAAAAGGGAGTACAAAGCCTGCACCTAAAGGAGGGGTTCGGGATATTAGCAGTTTGGAGGATTGTTGTGTATCTTTATGGTACGTAAAATGCTTTAAACTTTGTATCTGGCACCTCTGCAAAACAGTGATATGTGTGATTAGGTGAGAGTGTTGAATGATGATGAAAGTATTTTCTTTTTGGGTATTTTATTTCTTTTTGGGTCACCCTGCCTTGGTGGGAGACGGCCGACTTGTTAAAAAAAAAAAAAAAAGTTCACTCAGTATACCAGGTAAAGTGTATGGTAGGATTATTATTGAAAGAATTAGAGGTATGACAGAGAGTAGGATTGCAGATGAGCAAGGAGGCTTTAGAGTGGGTAGGGGATGTGTAGATCAAGTGTTTACATTCAAGCATATATGTGAACAGTATTTAGATAAAGGTAGGGAAGTCTTCATTGTATTTATGGATTTAGAAAAGGCATATGGTAGAGTGGATAGGGGGGTGCAATATTACTAAATGCTGTAAAGAGTTTTTGAGGATAGTGAGGCTCACGTTAGGGTGTGTAGGAGAGAGGGAAATTACTTCCCCGTAAAAGTAGGTCTTAGACAGGGATGCGTAATGTCACAATGGTTGTTTAATATATTTAAAGATGGGTTGTAAAAGAAGTAAATGTAAATGCTAGGGTGTTGGGGAGAGGGGTGGGATTAAATTATTGAGAATCAAATACAAATTGGGAGTTGACACAGTTACTTTTTGCTGATAATATTGTGCTTATGGGAGATTCTAAAGAAAAGTTGCAAAGGTTAGTGAACGAGCTTGCGTATGTAAAGGCAGAAAGCTGAAAGTGAACATAGGTAAGCGTAAGGTGATGAAGGTATCAAACGATTTAGGTAAAGAAAAATTGGTTATCACATTGGAGAGAGGGAGTATGGAAGAAGTAAATGTTTTCAGATATTTGGAAGTTGACTTGTCAGCAGATGGGTTTATGAAGGATGAGTTTAACCATAGAACTGACGAAGGAAAAAAGGCGAGTGGTTCATTGAAGTATCTGTGGAGACAAAAAACGTTATCCATGGAGGCAAAGAAGGGAATGTACGAAAGTATAGTGGTACTAACACTCTTGTATGGGTGTGAAGCTTGGGTTGCAAATGCTGCAGCGAGAAAGCGGCTGGCGGTAGTGGAGATATCTTGTCTAAGGGCAATGTGTGGTGTAAATATTATGCAGGGAATTTGGAGTGTGGAAATTAGGTGTGGAGTTATTAAAAGTATTAGTCAAGAGGGCTGAAGAGTTGCTGAGGTGGTTTAGTCATTCAGAGAGAATGGATCAAAGTAGAATGACTTGGAGAATGTATAAATCTGAAGGGAAGGAAGGAGGGGTAGAGGTCATCTTCAAAAAGGTTGGAAGGAGGGGGTAAAGGAGGTTTAGTGGGCAAGGGCCTTGTACTTCCAACAAGCATGTGTGAACATGTTAGATAGGAGTGAATGGAGATGAAAGGTTTTTGGGACCTGATGAGCTGTTGGAGTATGAGCAGAGTAATATTTTGTGAAGGGATTCAGGGAAACCAGTTAGCCAGACTTGAGTCCTGGAAATGGGAAGTAAAATGCCTGCATTTTAAAAGGAGGGGTTTGGGATATTGGCAGTTTGGAGGGACTTCTA